TAAGCAAAGCACACCACTCATATTTATAGGCAGGAGAGCGAGGCAGGAGCCTTGGGCATAGGCGTCATCACCAAGCGTCTTTTCCGCCTGAAATAAAGCAGCCATTAGTGCCGTGCCATATTTGAACCTGAGATTTACGGCAATCCTCTCATTCCAATTAATCTCGCCAAAATCGCTCCCTCAGTTACAATGGCGTCATTAATTAAAAGATAACACGTCTGGAAAATCGCTGGTGGACATGCGGCCCCAGCAGGAGTCCATCAAGGCATGTACAATGGTTCTATCTTAACAGTGCCACGTAGGATAAATGATGAAGTGGAGGAGAGAGAAATCATAAGAGAAGGCTTGTCTTATCTTATTTAAAAGAAGACAAGAGCTGATCTCTTAGCACAATTTGTCTCAACATGTTTTTAGGAACAACTAATTATCGAAGATAAGGCTAAGAGATGACCCATTGTTGACATATTTTTTTATCATTTCTAATTTACATGCAAAAATTAAGATAAGACTATCTTATCAACCATTGTACATACCCTCACGGCAACTCATGGGATGAGGATGGGAGCCACCTACTGTTCCAGTGCAAACAGGTACGGTACCTTTGGACTTTGGAGAGCGCTGGGACTGGAACATGTCCGAATTGCTTGCATGGTTCTGCATGATCCAAAGGAGGCTGTGAAGATCTTATTGCAAGGCACTCTTGACCAAACTACTAGTATACTTGCACTGCTATGGACTTGGTGGAACGCTAGAAACAAGCACAGGACCGAAAACAAAAGAATTGATGTCCATGCTTTGCTCTGGCAAATTAGGAGTACAGCAGGTGAGTATAAAAAATACTTTGGAAAAGAGAAAAAGGCTACAACAAAGATGGCGGAAGGCTGGACTAAACCTAGTGAGGGCACACTCAAAATAAATGTTGATGGCAGCTTCAGTAAAGAAACAACATCTGGAGGATGGGGATATGTGATAGGGGACCATGAAGGTGACGTAGTTGTGGCTGCTGCTGGGTGTCTACACCATGTTCTTGATGCAGTCCAATCAGAAGCTGAGGCCTGCATCCATGCACTGAACAAAGCGCAAGAACTGGGCATTAGTCGTGCGGTGGTGGAAACTGATGCTTTACTACTTGTTCAGGCGATCAAGATTTCGAGTTACGACCTCGCTCCAAATGGTGTCTTATTTAGGGAGATCAAAGCTTTTTCTTTGTTAAACTTCACCTTTTTTGATACTGTTCATTGCAGGCGGGCTTGTAACAAGGTTGAAGACGCTTTAGCGTTGTATGGGTCAAAGATGGAGCTCGAGCCCCAAGCTGTATGGCCGGGTCAAGCCCCTACCTTTGCCCAGTCTTTCATTGCCAGCGATTTTGTTCGGCGCGTTGCTTAATGGAATGAAATGTTCCAAACTCAAAAAAAGAAAAAAGAAACTATCTTTCACTATTCTTCTTTGATGCGCTACCTCCAATAACCTCCCTTGCATGACACATACATCTTCACCTTGCCTTAGACAGTAAAATCACAAATGCCGGCCAGCCCCAAACCATAAACTTGACTTAGAGCAACTCTAGCAGACCCCGCATCCCGTCCGATCCGTAAAATAACCGTCAAAATACGGGTCAGGGCGGAAAAACCAGCCCGATCAGACCCCGCATCCCGCCCCGGCTCACAAAAAAATTTAGGGGGCGCGGCAAAATCCCGACCCCAACCCAGGAAAACGCGGGTTTTCCCATCGCGACTGCGGTGCCCTGCATCACAGAGAAGCAGTTGGCGGGACGGACATTTCAGCCGGCGCGCGTCCCCCCTCCTTCCGCTGCCGACCGCCCTTGCTTCCGCCCGCCCGCCGCCGGCGATTTTCGGCCAAATCCGCGGGCGATATCGGTCCATGGGGCCACGCACACCCTCCCGCCCT